AGTCCCAAGCGAGAACAGAGCCAGGGGAAACTAAGAGCCCCAATCATGCCATTCAAAGCTCCTAGTCCAGTCAACAAACCCAGGAGCCAAGGAGGAACTCCTTGAGAATAGGCATATGCTGAAAAAAGAAATCATGGGTGTACAAAGCAAGGATGTGTCATATGCCATTCTTCCTAGAAAGTGAACGTTAGTGTAATGAATTTCCTGGCAAAATAGGCTGTAATGCAGTTGTGCCTCTTCCTGCAGTCAAATTCGGAGGGACCCACACAAAAGTTTGACTCACTGATTTTTCAAGTTAGGGAAACCAGTATTTTTTTGTTACAAAGGGAAAATTAAAAATTACGAAAAGGCTAAATTGGTGATCTTATGAGCCTTAAACTGCTCATTATATGAATTGATAGGATTTTGAACTTATAAGCAAGGCCACATTTGCCCAATTAGTCACTAGTTATTTCACTTTCTTTTGGGAGACATCAAGTCACTTTTTTAATGCCTTTATCTGTCCTGGGTTCTCTTAAATAATGACTAAAAAAAACCGCAGGAATTTATTTTATAGAGGGGGCGAGTTTTTGAGTTTAAGATTTTTTCTTCTTGAAAAAATTTCTACAGGGACTACGCAAAAAATTTTACGAAAGTGGTTTTTGACTTCAGGTTTCAGTTATGAAGGTTCTATTGTATCTTCTTGCCAGCAAGAAAAATTCAACAGAATGTTTAATAGTGATAGATCAGGTTTCTTCGATTACCCGACACAATATGAACAAAAATTCGTCTTTCTAATCTGAAAGTTATGTAAAGTACTGCTTTTCAAAAACTTGGACATCTGCAACATTCATACAAAAATGTCCCACCGGTTCTGCCAAATTCTGACACGAGGAGACATGTTTCGAAATTCTGATGAGATTTTCATTGAAAATATAGGACAACTTCTTGCTGAAATTTGGCAGGTTCTTATAATAAGTACCGTATATACACTTCTTAATTCTTGAAATGGACGATTTCAATTAAAATTTTAACGTCGACAAGTCAAAAGCTTTGCGTGGCATACGTAAATAGTGAGGTTTAATTGAAACGAACCGATGCAAACCTGTCGTGACGAGGTCAAAGCCCAACACCGTCATGTACAATAATGCCAATCCGAAACCAGCAGCGAACACTTCATGTCGGAAATAAATCACCCAGGCAAAAACGGCGTTTTTTATCCACTTCCCCATACCTTCCTTCTGCTTTCTTGGAACTGAAA